AGACACAGACAAAAGATGTACATACACAAAACTGTGCCTCACTGCAAAAAGCTATTGGAGGTTTACCTGTGTAGGGTTATTACAGACACAAAATTCTTTTAACTATGGCAAGAACTTACCTCCAGGGAAGAACCAGTCTGCATGCTGAATAATTGGCTCAATAACTGCTACCACATGGACTGAAGTTGCTGCTGCCATTTCAGCAAGGGATCTGCAGAAGAAATTTGTAGGGCACTTTATACAGAGTTCTATCAAAGTAACAACATATTAAAAAAAAAAATAATAATTGTATTACCTAAATGGCATATCACGCTAAGCATGATGTATCAAGGCTCCTAAGTATCACATAAAGAGCAACTTCACACCTTGATGAAACCTCGACTTCAGTAACATTCACAGCATTTTAAAACACCCCTAAAAAGATGCATGCCTAAAAGGATCTGGAGGCATAGGTTGAGAGAATATTTGAAATACTTTTTAGGCAAATATTCTGTTGTTGTGAACAGTCTACATGATTTAAAACAAACTGACGAGAAATTCTAGAATTCCATGGACGTTCTGTTTTGTAGCTTACCCTTCATTCTTTGCCCATAACAAGTTGGGGCCCAAAACTATTGCGACATTGCTGGGTGTCATTTTGTTAACATCGCTGTTCTGTGCAAGCTTTGCTAAAAATTTGATTAAATACCTACAAAAAGAAAAGAAATAATTAAACAGCAGGAACTAAGAGCATTTCTTGTTGAAAGCAACCAGGTAAAAATTCAAGAACTTGTAAAGACAGGTCCTAACAAAACACAAATAAGACAAACCACCTTCTTGCTTGGTGGCTGGCTACTAAGTTTCTACTCATGAATCAGAAGTTGAATTGGGTAGAAAAGAAAGCATCTCCCACCTTAGCAAAATGGAACTACAGAAATATCATATTTTCAGAAAAAATATTTAGATTGAGAATGTCTACTCAACATCTACTTTCATATCCTGTAACGGAATTTCCACACTTCCAGGAGTCACTAGAGTTGGTTTTGTTCTGATTCATTCCCAAAAGGCAAAACCAAAAGGAAAAATAATACGTGTAAGATACATCCAGGTGATTTCTAAGACTGGAAAATACAACGAAGAGCAAGCACAACTGGTGAAAAGTCAGGTACTATTGCCAACAGCATGACCCTTAAGTGGAAGGGTTCTACGCATCACTACTTCATTACAGTCAATAGTGAATTAACTTGACTGAAGAAGTCTACCACCCTCAATGCACACCAACTACTTGATAAAACAGGATGTCCTTTTATAAACCTAACTGAATTTGACAAAGAAAAAAGCCCAAGAAAAATCTGAAATTTGACCAAGAAAAAAAATCAGAGTTTTGGTTAATCAGCTTTGAAACATGGTCCTCCAGCATCAAAGCAGCTGTGCTGCAAGTCAACAGATGTTCATACATACCTGAAATTTGCATGATAATGCTTCGGTAATCTGTTACAAATTCTCCACAACTCTTGTAGCTTCTTATCCTGGTCCTGAATACTGAAAGGAAAGAAAAAATTCCATTACATCTTACTTTCAGATCAGAGAACTGTTGTTTCTGCAGTGAACAAAGACAAATGCATAACCTTCCATTTGTGTCAAATAAATGCACTGTTTTGTATTCAGTAATTCAGTAACCTGCTAGTTACATCTCTGAATTATCTCTACCTGCAATGAAAGAAAACTGCTTAAGCATCAATACTACACAGCAAATAGTCTGAAGCAGCCCTTACATTTAAACATAAAATAAATATTTCACCACATTTTTGTACAATTAGGGTTAAGCTAAATCACAACATTTAAAATAGTTTGTTACACAAAACATTCACCTGTTAGAGTAGAAATGAGAAAGTAAACTGTGTAAGCTTGGTCTTTCTTTTGAATTCATATGTGAAGAACCAAATTTGAAAAAAAAAAAAAAAAAAAAAGATGTAGAATGTTTTCCTCTACAACTATTTTCAGTATGCTTACTTTGCAGCTTGTGTCCATTCTTCATAGAGACTGTAGGTCATTAGAGGTTCTGGCAACTCTCGCAAATAGGATTTCAAGGCACCTGCAACGCACACCAGAAACAGTCTAACTTCTTAGCCAATGCTTTCTGCCTCCATTTAAAATTCTGTCCTCAAATTTACGATTTTATCTATGCAATGGGACCCAAGTTCCAGTGAAACAGTGGGAAGACCTGACACTTCCACAGTATATCTACTCAACACTTAACACAAAAGGTCTTCCAGTAATCACTGTAATTTGACAGAAACATGTACTATAAAACTATGAATCATCTCTTCAGAACAAAGACCTTATTAAAGGTCTACATGTGGCTCTAATCTCCCTTGATCACATTAACACTTGTCATGAGAAGAAATATGATATTTGGATTAATATGGTCCCCTGAAATTTAAACACCACTCTGTCATGCAGACATGAATACATCAAGCGTGATACGCGTACGTACCCTATACTTATCTGTGTTTAAGTTGTGCAATGAAGTGAACTTTAAGTTTACTTTCATTCATAGTTTATCTGCAGAGATCGACACCTTACACTGCAGGAAGTCAACAGTTAAATGAACAGCATCAACTTGCATTATATCAATTTATACCTGGTTTTGTTTCAGAACATTCACAATACCTGCAACAGCATGGGGATCGGAATAAAATTCATCAAGCTGGGAAGTTGAACAGTCCAAGGCAGCTTTCAGCTTTTTTAACTTGGAGGCTCCAGCAGCGATTCTGAATAAGCCCTGCGTAATAAGAATAAAATGTACTTGACTGGTAACAACATGTTAGTACAAGCAGGAAACAGCGTAAGTTTTACAACAGACTCTTTCAGAACAGTTTCAAGTTCGGTGTCTTCACCTTACACTGTTATGATCTAGCTGGCTCTTAACGTGTCGCTGCCACCTGATAGTGTTTTAGTTCCCTCTAACCCCTGGTCCATTCCTAATTTTTCATTCTAGGTGCACTCATCTCAAAGATACTTCAAATAGTGCTGAGGTTATTCTGTTGCAAAAGATCTATCATCTGTGCCAGTGAACAAAATTACTTAAGCAACTTGTTAAAAAAGTACAGACACCAGTCCCTGAGTTTCACTGAGCACTTTTTTCCTGTTCTTCATACCACATGATACAGCATTACCTACCTCCTCTCTCATTCCTGTTTCCAAAAGCATCATTACACAGGCTTCAATAGGGACTGCAATTTCACGACCACTGCGCTTGAGATGCTCTTCTAATGGAGTTCCAAAAGCTGGTTTTTCAGTCCATTTGTCTAGTTGGAGAGTATCAAAACACTGAGCAAAATATCTAACAAACACTCAATTTATGTCCCAGACAAGGAAAGAAGAAAGCCTCCAGTACAGCAAAGAAATTTTCAGAATACAGTAGGAGTTTTACAGCTCTTGATTGGTAAAGTCCTTTATATCAGGAGTAAAGAGAAAATGAGCCTGCTGGTGTTCAAGAAAAAAATACTTCTGCATCTTTCTGGATGGAATACCACATACAAACCCTTTGTATAACTGGAAGTGCATGTCCCACTAGGCCCCAACACAAGTGCCACCAAATGGCTGTAAGTTACGTTAGTTCTGATTTGCCAAGATATATAAAGGTTTAGGTCTGCAAGAATCTTTGAGGACAAATTTTGTCCAGATTGCATGACCTGGGCTGATCTTGGTTTCAACTATACTTAAGGTGGATAAAAACTGAACCATTAACGTGAAGTTTATTGCTGATATAAGGAATCAGCAACTTTAAATGGATGTTAACAGCCCCAAAGGCTTACATTAGAATTAACACGTTAACAGTCCATCACTGTAACACTTCCATAAATTTTCAATTCAATTTCTCGATTGTTGCTTAACTCCGGAAGTCAAAATTGGCACAACTTTCTCCAATTTGAATGTGAATTTCTTGTTTCCTACAATTTACTACTTCAGCCATTTCTGCTGTCTTAATTGAAAAAATGCAGATGTAAAAGGTTATTGTTAGTACAGACGCATTCCTTTTATGTGGAAAAAAGGTCAAGAAAGATGAAGACTTTGAAAGAGTCCTCTGAAGACACAATGTGCTTCTGCAAATGATTTAATTTACCGTTTTCGTTTACAAAACCACATCAACTATATCCCTCATAAGGCTTTAGTTCCTCTCATTCATTAACACACCATGAAAGGCATGCGTGTCCTCAAACCAGGAAAACATGTCATTTTCCCCAGTTTTGCAAACATTAGGAAGAGAGAACTTAGTAATTGTTCAAAGTCGCAGTTAATTTACACTACAGCTAGGAACACAACTGAAGTAATGCCCTACACTTAGATCTTCAACACTGGACCACTTAGACACCATGCCTCCTAGCCCACCTTCTAGGAAGGCTAATCTGTTCTGAAGCATTTGTCACATCAAAAGTTTGTACAAAGCAGCTAAGCAACAACAACAACCACCTTAAAGCAGTCATATCCACAAAGAGAGGACCTCCCATACAGCCATAATGCAGCCCTGATGCTACGTAAGCATCATTTGTTTCCATTACCTCGTCTCCCATCAGATCTACAGAGTACAGATATTCTATATCATCTTTCAGCAAGATGCTCATACTTCTTGATATATTTAGTTTAACGGTTCATCCACAACTGAAGATACTTGAGTCTTGCTCAGCTTAGATTATATTTTTCTCAGACTTTGTTCAGCCTACACCTTGTTCAACACAATTAGCAGATTAAGAGACAGTATAGCTAGTATTTAGGACAGCAGTTTCAACGCCACACAGCGCACCTTCATACCAAGCCATTAATGATACACCTTAACTCCTGCTAACAACAAAAATCTTAGTAGCATGGCGAAGAGATGAAGCTGTATTGCTCGCTTTTTTTTTACTGCTGCTATTCAACACATTGATCTGAATACTCCATTAGCCAGCTGTAGTGCAGTTTGCACGCTGAGATAAAGGACTGCATAAAAGAAGGGAAAAAAGTCAAGTTCCTTAGAATAATGGGAGGTTTTCTGATAATCGTCTAGTAATCATTCGAGAAGCAAGGACCCTAAGAAGTTCCTAAATCACAACGAAACTCTCACTGGCCTAAAGAGCCAGGTATGGATTAGCAACGGTCGCACGATACCAAAGAAAACTGCAAGCAAATAGAAAAATCCTTCTTTTACTCTCTCAGGTATCAGACAGATCCTTAATATTTTATTAGTGTGTTAAAATATGAGAACTCCAAAGAACACAAAGATGGAATTATGTTTGGGAACGTAAAATTGTTAAGTAGATTAAAATGGCCTTATTCAATAAGTCTGCATGCAAGAGAATCGAGATAAAGGAGGAGAATATTGTGCATAGGTGGCACAGGCAAGGAGAAGCATCAGCCAGAGCACAGGTTACTTTACCTTGATGGGCTTGAATTTCGGGTAGGACCTTTTCTATGACTGCTAATGCTTTTCTATGGTAATCTGCTTGTGCTTCTAATAACTGAGAACAGAAGCCACATTTTAAAAACAAAAAGAGCATTAGCTTCTGATGAGCACATAATACAAGACTAGAAGGTTTAGCACACAAAATGTAATCTTTGAGAATTGAGTGCCTATGCACATACGTGCTGTAAACAAAGTCAGACTGAAAAAAATACTCACCATAACAAAACATCTAGCATATTCCCCTTCTTTGGACACAAAGTTATACATGTCTGCTGCTAGCTGATCCTTTGAAAAAGAAAAGAATGCAAAATAGCACATAAATTTTACAGGGGTGTTTCAACTTATATACAAGGACAGAAGTACATACGTTTATTTTGCCTGCAGTAAGTCTGAACTATTGGTTCAGGTAGTACAGGAAGCCAGTAATCCACTTAGTCCGCTACATGTATTCTTCCAAACAAAAATCACTAAAAATGCCTAACCGTGTTTTATACAGCAAAGCAGCTGCCCACTTAAATCAACAATTGGCTTCTATGGCAATGTTATTTACAGCCAATCCCTGCGTACAAAGACAAGTACTCCTAAAAGGTTTTTGGTCCTCAGCTCAACTGCAGCTTAATGTAGTATTTCACAATTAAATGAGAAGTGAAACCGAATGTGAACTGCTCAGAGGTGCAATAGAATGTTCCTTTTATGTCAGCAGCCTGAATGTCATCCAGGTAGCTCACACTGCACAGCTACTCAGTGGCTCGAAGCGCTCGGACACCCTCAACATTTCAGTCAAGGCTAATACACCGCTCCTTCTCTTAACTGTCTCCGACTGAGACAGAAAATAACGCAAAAAACCCATCTTAAGAAATAATAATAAATTCCTTGTTAAATTAAAGCATTTCAGACAGAGATCAGCTAGCATTAATATACCTGTAAGATATACAGTTTGTTAACAGCCGCATAATTTGCAACTGCAGTAATCCGCCAGCCAGTTCCACAGGCAAGGCTTGCAGAAGCAGCCATATTCTGATTGCTGTTGTTGCTAGAGGTACATAAATAATAGACTCATCTTGTCATACCTTGCATTGTTCTACTTTATTTCCAGCTTCATCCATCTCTTCCTTAAGAGATTCTATTTTTGAAGGATGCACTTGAAAATTTGTTCCTGAAGTCTTGTGAGCTTGGTTATATCTGTGGAAGAAAGCCTTCAGTCATTTGGTGAAAACTAATATTAAACAAGGATCTGCATTTATGGCTCCCTTGAAACTGGTTTCTTTTGGCAGGAAACAAACCCAATAGTTTCAGAGATTTTCCAACAGAACTAAGGAAGATGTTCAAAACACACCATTTACGACATGCTGGCATAATTCACACACAGCTAAACAACTATAAAAATGCACAAGAAATCCTGCATTCTGCACAGTCGAACATGGGTGTACAATATGTTAGAACTACCAATCCCAGAAAATGCTACATAAATTATCACCGCAGTTTAAGACCGTTTAAAGGGACTTAAGGGTAATTTGAACAACCTAAGACCCTACCAATAAGATGGTTCAATATAATGCTGTAAAAGCACTTGGCATGGTTACAAAACTAGACTTCTACTCCTTATTTGACAGTTTAAATGAACTGGAAAGAAGATGAGTTTACAGCATTTTTCCAATTATATATAGGCAAGTAAGAGCTCCAAAATCTTGATTCTGTTTGGATCTAGCAGTCATGAGTCCTTTTTTGAATAGCTTAAATGTCAGTTTGTCTTTTTTCGGCAAAGTATTAATGTGCATACAGTAGCATTTCAGAAGCAAGTACCAGCATCAGATCAGATGCCATGATACAGCAACAAGAAGTTAACATGAACAGAAAAGGACCCGATAATTAAAATCCTTTCTTACCTTCCTCTTGCAGAATCCCAGTCCAATACCAGCTTTGCAAGCTGTTTCCTCTGCTTCTGAATGTTTGGTATCTCTGTCTAAAAGGAGAATTCAAGGCTTACATTTATTTTTAAATTGCGTATTGTGATAAACTACATTTTATACATTTCGTATCACCTTCCACCACTACTGCATGACTCCTTAAAAGTTTTATTATTAGCAATGAGACAAACCCTTTTTGCTCAGTTTATACATAAATCCAGATTTATTTCCTCAGTCAGGCTGAAGTGACTTACCTCTGTTAGTAGACACAGTGGATCTAAAACTTCTCTTTCGATCTGTACTTCATGCTGAGAGAGCTCCATTGCCAGTTTATTCTCTGCATCGCCACATGTATCTAGCATTTTCCTTTAAGAATTATAGGAAGTTGTAATGAGAGTTACTACTGACTAAAGAAGAAATATTTAAAATGAAACAGTGGTGGCCCTTTTTTGTCCTGCTACCCTTTTGGAAAGCTTTGTGTTGTATAAAGCAAGGCATTACTTAATGGCATAAAACCAAGATGCTTTATGCCATCATGGACAAATTTGGGATAGGCAAAGAGTGTTACTGAAGTTCTGTCTTCTAAAATTCCTTAGCCATTACAACATTTTTGGAGACTTTAAGTCATCTAGGTGACTATACTGGCCCTGGGGGCAGAGCAGTTAGTATTTATTTCAAAGCCCATCCTTCCATCTCACCAGAAGCAGGAAAATTGCTCAACGCAGTATTTAATTTTCCCCTAAGCCCCTTTAATGTGAAAAAGTCTTACCACCATAGTACTAAGCAATCACATATGCAGCAGCCTCAGGTTCCAAACCCACGATTTGACCTTTGTTTTAAGCTTGTTCTAAGGAAAAACCCTATTCTCTCAGATTTTTATCCATGTTTAAATCTCCTGCAACAGCTCACAAAACTGCACACAAAGGTTTTTAAGGTCATTCTATGCTGTCTCCATTAGAATTCCCATCAGCAACGAGGAAACACATTTGCTCTAGGAATTCAGTATATTGACGTTCATTTGTTTCAGCCACTTTCCTGTAAGTTGCAAATATGCACTTTGCCGGGATAAGGAAATTGGTGTTATTTTGAACTAGAAGCCATTAACCCAAATTGGCATTAAGTCATTAACACAAAACTGCAGAATGCAGTATTTACACTAAGTTTTAAACTTTAAATGAAGATGATAACTTGACTAATCCACAAGGAGAAAGCCATTTGTAAAAGCTTTTTAGATAGCAGAGAATCAGATTCCTCTGGAATGCAATTCAGAGCAAGCCTAAAACTTGCCCCCAGGATGACTCAAGAAGAAATGCTTGCTCACTTTTTCTCCCTTTAGATTAGAGAAGGAACCTAGAAATATTAGTTTCATTAGACTGAAAACAGCCTGTAGGTACCCCAAGTCTCTAATTAGAACCCTGCAGGCCATAAAATGACAGACTGCAACTTATAAAGCCAAATACTTACCCCAACAGAGTTTCATCACTTAGCTGGACAGATCCTTCTTGCATATTTTGAGCAAGGGCTGTTAGAGGAAGTTTTTTCTATGGAATAGAAGGAACAGTCCTTAGCTTATGTCCATTCACCCCTTCCAGCTTTCCCAGTACATCCCATCTAAGATTCTTCTCTTCTTGCATATGGTTTCTATTATACACATACGCAGTTCATTCTTTGACTTTAAGAAAATGCCAAGTCACAAAAAGTTTCAAGCCTCAAGACTCCTGTTCTCAGATACTTTCTTCTCAGTTTTAGTTGGAATGACTGGCCCAAAAATGTATCTCAACTACTATCAAAGACAAGTACACAACTTTAACTTGAAACCTAAGCAACCAGCTAATCATCTCTCTCTCTGCAGAGGTTCGTTCTGTGTGCCCCTGTTTTCAGGAGGTCTCTATTATTCAATACAAGGAGAAAACCTGAGTGTTAATTACTTATGGTTCTAATGCTTTAAGAAAACCTATGTATGGCTTTGCTAAAGAGGAGCAGAAATCAAAAGTGTACAAAAAAACATTTACAGTAATCGGAGATGTCAGTGCACAAAGGTAATTCTAAATATGAGGAGCTTGATCAGAGTTGCAGACTATCTTCTCTTCTTAGTCAGGTCTTATGAAAGCTGGAAGTACTCAGCACACTGCAGAAACAAGTGAGTGTCCTGACACTGCTAAGGTACCCCAAGGTCACATTCCTATACCTGGATGGGGAATTACAGCTAGCATTTTACCAAATGATGGTAACATGTGAGATGATTTTATAGTTTTTCTTCTCTTGGATAAATTGAGGCATAGCAGCTGATCAGTATTTAGAAGGCCAGAGCGTATTCAGACTAGTCTCAGAAGACAAGCCAAAGGGCAATTTTACTTACGTGTCTCTTATCAGGATCTGTACCATGCTGGCCTTGAAAACATGCGATTAATCGTTTCTGTGCAATGTGGCAAACAGATCTCACAGTGTCAAGACGTCTCTCAATCTGGTCGGCAGGAGGGGGAGAGGAGGAAGAGAAAAACAAAACAAAAAACAGAAGTTATTTCCCTGGCCTCAGCAGAAAACCTTCCTCCTGTACCACACTTAGTTCTGGGTTGCATATTTCTCAAGTTCTACAGCCTACAAGAAGTTCAGACGCTGAGCAGAAGCGCCTGACAGCAAAAATGCTTGGAAAGAGATTTAGATTGCTTTTTTCCTCAGTGGCACAGCAATTCAGGCGAAGCTCACAATGCTGGCAAAACTGAAGAGTGGAAGAGGGAGAAAAGCACTGCCCCTACTTTTTGTCTCAGCATAAGAGAATCAAGTTGATACTTGCCATCTGAGATGAATGGCGCATGCAGATATCTAATTTAGGGGGAAAGCTGTAGGAAAACTCTCCTATTTTTTTCACCGTGACCTTGGGAAGTAGAAGGCTAAAGACATACCTGACTGCTTCTTTTACACTGGGCCAAGCCTATGTACAGGAAGCTTTCTATTGGTTTTCCTTCTCTGGCCATTTAAGACAAGGACAAAGTCCCTAAATGCTAAGCAAAATACTATTTTCAGGGAGAGATTAATGGGATTCAAAGGGGATGTGGAATAAAAAAAAAGCGTCAATGCACAAACAAGAGTTCTGCTTACCACAGTGTATTTGAAACATGGCTTAATATATCGACTGTGAATATGACAAAGATAGACATTAATAAACTGTTCTTTTAAGGGACTTTAAGTAAGGAATTTGGACTATTTTATTTCAAAGAACACCAAAAGCAAACAAAGTGATGAGCACTGGGACAGAACTGCTTATGGCACTGAGCTCTCTATGCACAGCGCCAAAAGAATGCGGTTTATCTGCATTTTGATGAGTCACCAAGAATAAAAGGAGGCCCTTTGGAACAGCTTCTATTTAAAAAGCAAGGAGAAAAAAAAGTCCATTTCATCTGTAGAAATAATCTGAACAGACTCTAGTTTTTGATACAGCTCTAAAATCACTCCTGTTACATTTTCAGGAGGGCAACGATTCTCCCCAGCTTTCCTATCAATCATAAATACAGATTAGCTGAAAAAGTAGTCATTTTAGTGCTAAGTTATTACACCCTGTGCAAGCTCCTCTTAAGGGCACAGTATCTGGATTTAAAGCAGGAGATACACTGTTGGTTTTTCCAGAGAAGGCAGGCTGCTACGTTCTAATGCACATGAAATGCTATAAATTTTCATTTAGGATGTTATACATCCAGGTAAGAACAATGTGTTTTCCACCCAACGGGTCTATTTGGCACTACTAGGATGGGATATGTATATCCCTAAAGTGGTTACAGTTGAAAGGATGTAAGTAGGTTCCAAAAAAAGCTGCTAGTAAAAACTACAGCTACTAAAAGGGACAGCAGATCCAGAAGAGGAGCCTTCAGGGACGTGGGCTGCGAGAAGTTGCGAGGGAGAAGATGCCAGTAGAGGGAGGCACAGAGAGATGGGGATTTGGTGGGTATCCGCACAGAATCACTGCTGTTGGACCTGACCACACAAGCAAGTGCAGGACTGGGCTCCCCATTTCCTTTCAGAAGAGGGGAACAGCAGTTCTGCTAATCTGTAGCCTGGAAGAGCACCCAAAGCTGGGTCTTGGGGCTGTGCTGCCCAGCAGCAGCCTTTGCGAGTCCAAAGGGAAGGTGGAAAAGAACCAATATAGGAGGGCTGATGAGCTGGAGGATCAATGTAAGAAGACTGAAGTTTCACTGGCTACATGAGGCACTAAAGGGACTAAAGCTTTTGACAGCCACAAGACGAATCCAAGTTGATATCCTTGAAAAGCTCAGTAAAATCTCTTACAGTAGAGTACGGTGCAGAGAAACTGCCCAAGGACTGCTCTGAAAGCACAAGGCACTGCCTTTTATTTACAGAGCGTATATCACCAAGCTCAAAAGCAAGTCCACTTCAAACAAGTCCATATGAAGATACATGAACAAGAAAGTACTGTTTGTGGTCTACTGTTGCAGGTAAGATGATTCATTTCTGTTGCGTGATCTTCAAGCTGAAATACCACCAACACATTCTAAACCATCCACTATTTGTGAAAGCATTTATTTTTGCAAGGTCACATAGTTAAGACTTCTTAAAATATCGAGCGCAGGGTTTTTTCCCACACTTGAAGCATGGTGACATCCTGTAACTGAACCATCTTACAGATCCCAGCAGACTAAGACAGCCCTTGTTGGCCACGCGTGGTGGCTTACGTTCCTTAGAAAGGCTTTGGAGCACATATATTCCCAACAGCCTCTTTCCAGGCAGCCTGGATGCCAAACTGAAAGGGCAGAAGACCGATAGGAAGAACATGACCCCAAAACTTCATGATAATATATTCTCCTCTCTCATTTGCTTTTTAGTTCAAAGACGCGAGGAAAACCAAGAATGACATTAATCTCCATTAAGCTACCTTTGAACTGAAAATGTGACCTATAGGCCATGCTGTCTGTACCCACAGGGCATCTTCAGTGTACAAAACATCACACAATTGCTTTATTATACACTACAAGGGCATGCCAGAAAGTGGGTCTATTGTAGAAGCCTTTCCAGTACTGAATTATATTCCTTGTCTTCACACAGGAATGCATTTAACAGAGATACTTGAAATGGAGTAGTACACTTCAGAAAACAGAAAAAAAAAAAGCTATGGCAATCCTATGCAAAGCTTGAGCTAAATATAAAAAAGAACACTGCGAAACATGTTTATAAAGTGAACAGTACCACAATTTTAAGCTCTTTAGTTAGATAAGAGCCTCCCTCCCCTCCACAAGCCCCCAAGAGCAAACAAACAAGTGAGTAAATTCTTCCAGTTGGGTGTAGCCAGTCTGCTCTGTGCCTGGGAAAGCCTTGCTTGCAAAATTTTTTTGGCAACAAGCAGCAGTACTTTTGGCTTTCACTTCTTGTTACTATTCTGCAGCTAACCAAGAAAACAGATGGGCCCTTGAAGGCTATCAAGGTGTTTTAACATCCTTTATGCCATTTAATTGTACACATCTCTTCAGAAATTAAAAATAGTATTGTCAAACTGTGAAGGTATTTATGGCTCAAATAAGCAGTCTCCTGAAAAGCAGGGTAAAATGTTTCAGGTCAGCTCATATCACCATTACTCAAGATGATTTCATGTATCTGTGCAGAATTCAAGTTTTAAGGCCAATATATTCTCTCATCTTCTACTTTAAGCTGAACAGGTGGAGAGATTTGAAATAAAAGTACTTTGCATCATTTGTGTGGCTTCCATGTTTCATATGCAGGTCCTGAACTTAAACATATGAAGATGCTTTATAATCAATTTGAAATAGCCATTATACTGAAGGTCCTGTGGAGCAGCTAAGCTAGCCTGACTTCCCTTGCCAATTTATGTTCTGCCTGTTTTGTTTTTTTTTTAAAAAAAGTCTTTCACAAAGTAACAAGAGGAAGAAAACTATGTAGAACAAGTCTGTAGTCAAATTTGTTCCTTGTAATCAGTCAACCTTGTTAATCTAACAGTTGCAACTAAAATTTCACCGTGAAAGTAATGTCTGATTAGACAGTGTACTTTCAAAAAGATGACAAGTCTGCAAACAAATCAAATGTCAGTTTGACAAATTTGAGAAATATCACAAGCTAAATAAGAAGCATTTGTACGCTTATTTGGAGATTCCAGAGTTTCAGAAAAAAAAAAAACCCTGACATTATCTATTAGCAAGCAGTTGGCATGTTTTTCACCACCTCTCTTAAGGCCCAAGCTGACCTCTTCAAGAGAAACAGAAATGAAGACAGAAACCAGCTGCGCCTAATCATAGTTTCTTCCCAGCTCATCGTCCTCCACCAGACAGACTGGCAAGTCATTAGCACTAATGGTTCATAAGCTTAACAAGCTAGTTCATCTAATTAAAAGCAAAAATGCTTCCTCCTTCACTTTATCAAGCCATATGATCGGCTTCAGAAACAGAAGTACCCAAGTTTTTCCATTCGAATTGTATCATAGTTTTTTTTTCATGTGCTAAGTCAGCCAAAGACATCTTTGTTTTCATCCCTGTCATGAGCAGTACTTCCCCCCCCCC